AACTTAGCCCAGCCCAGCCCCTAGCTGGATATAGCCCCCTGAATTACCCAGCTGACTCCACACAAAGCAGAGTTTCACCAGAACTCTGAATCCTGACCCCTCTGAACCCTGGGCAAAAAAATAATCGCTCTTGTAAGAAACTATGGTTTGTGATGCAATAGATAACTGAGACAGCGTAATTTCAGAAATGTAATATAGTCAGCAGAGATCAATAATTGGCATCATCCTTTTTTTTAAACAAGGACTTCTCTTACATTAGGTTTCTGTAAATCTACAGATTTATAGTCACAATTAATTGTGATTTAGACAAGACAGTTGGTTAGAATATAGTGAACTATTAATTTTAAAAGTAATGGTTCCTTAGTAATAAATATAATGTAAAATAGGATATCTTGAAGTCTTAAAACTCATCTGAAGCCTTAATGTGAATGATAAATGTACTTTTAATCTAATAAAGTTGTAGGAAATCTTATAATGTTTCAAAATGATAGCTTATGATAAATGTATGTTTTACTTGAATTAATCCTTTACAGAATTTCATATGATCTGTGTATAACACTTAAGATAGTTATATAAAGAAGTCTTTTGAGAAGTCTTTTGATCTATATTTTATCCTAATTGAAAGGATTTAAGGCTGCAATATGAAAAATGATGAGAGAAATAAGTTTTATAACAGGCCTTTTTTGTATGAATTTTGCTTATCTCTACTAGATGAAATTGATTTTCTTATTTGAGTACCTGTAGATTCACCAGTTGAATTTTTTTAACCATTCCTCTACAAGTGGGAGATCACATAGTTTCCATTACTTTGCCACCACAAACAATGCTGCAGTGACATCTTTGAATGTGTATCTACACACTCATGCTTTAAAAACAGTTCATGTTTTATTTTAGAAGAGTCACATTTAGTAGTATCTTACATTTGCTTCTACTTTATTTGGTGTTCAGATACTTGATATTGTGTGTAAACAAACATAAAGCCCAACTCCGGGGCATGCTTACTGGTCATTCTGCCAAGGCCTGGTATCCTGGACCCAGCTTCCCCAGCCTGATGTGCTCCCAAGCTGTGGCCAATTAAGTGCAATTTAGAAGGGGAATATCCACATTTTTTCTGAAAGGATTGTTTTAAAGGAAAACAGAACAGGAAGGATTGTTTACATATGCTTTAGAAAAGAAAAAGCCAGAAGCAACATGGTTCTCTCTCTTGCACATAAGATGGAGACTGGTAAACTGACAAAGTGACACCTATATCTTTATCTGACCAAAGGAGAGAATCAGACAGGCCTGGAAGAATGCCCTCTATTGGAGCTCTTCTTGCGCTAAGGAGCTGGCTTCCTGGTCTTTGGGAATAAGAGAACAGCCCTAGCAGCTGTATTTGTGGCTTCCAGATCCACGCCTATCCCTCCTGAGGCCAAACCCTTTCAGCACACCGCTAACATGGGTCAAAGGCAGCTAGCTCATGCCTACAATGTTATCCACCTTGCTTGTGTCTGTCTCCTCCAGGCTAAGGCAACACTAGGAGGAGCTTTTAAGAATATTCACAAACTCAAACAACACAATAGCAAGAAAACAAATAACATCACTAAAAAATGAACAAAGGACTTCAACAGATATTTCTCAAAAGAAGACATACAAATTATCAACAGGACAATGAAAAAATGATGAATATCACTAATTGTCAAGGTAATGCAAATTAAACCACGATGAGATATTACCTTATACCTGTTATGTTAATTAGCTTGATAAAATCATTCCACAATGTATACATATATCAGAACATATCACCAAAAGAAAAAAGATGATATATGTTGGCAAAGATGTGGAAAAAAGGGAGCCCTTGTATACTGCTGGAAGAAATGTAAATTAGTACAGCCATTATGAAGGACAGTATGGAGATATTCCTCAAAAAGTTAAAAATAGCTGGGCACAGTGGCTAATGCTTATTATCCCAGCACTTTGGAAGGCTGAGGTGGGAGGATTGCTGGAGGCCAGGATTTCAAGACCAGCCTGGGCAACACAGCAAGACCCAGTCTCTAAAAAAAA